CTGCAATAAATAGCTTGTTGTTGTTTAGTTGTGTCCTACTCTTTGTGAGCCCATTCAGGGTTTTCTTGGCAAAGATACTAGAGTGGTTTGCCATTTCCTTCTCCAGCTCATTTTACAGATGAGGAAACTGAGGCCAATAAGGTGAAGGGACTTGCCCAGGGTCACACAGCTGGTGTCTGAGGCTGAATTTTAACTTAGGTCTCCCTGACTCCAGGCCCAGTGCTCCACCCGCTGTGCCCCCAGCTGCCCCAGTAAATAGCTTAGCTTCCCTATAATGAAGTCAATGAGACCTATTTGTCTCGATCAACTCTCCCACTTGGATAAATGCACCATTTCGGGGCTGAGACAGAAATGCTGATCTGACAGCAGAATAAAATGGGGACAAAGAGGGAGAACTCACTGATGATTTGAACCACCTCCACTTTTCATAATTTGAAATTGGAATGGATCTGTTCCAAATGATTCATTTAATAGATGAGAAAATGTTGCTTAGAGTAGAGAAGACATTTACACTGAGAAGGCCTGCTGGTAGGACCAAATACCACCACGGCTAAAGTGACAGAGGGAGCAATGCTTTTGTGAGCTACCCCTAAGGGACAGGTAGGGGGCATCTTCTTTGACTGTGAGTTAATACCTTGACCTCTCGCCCACTCTGAAGGACCATAACCTTCTCCTCCCTTCTCCCCTCAATCCCAATCTACTGCCCTGGAGGATCCAGCTACTCAGCTCTCACTTCTACAATCACCCAGGCAAAGCTATTGCTGGACTAAACTAAGCCCAGGAACAGAGCCTCAGGCATTAGGCCTCTGACCTCCAAGACCAATTTTCTGGTCTTCAGAATATCCCTTAGGAATGGAGCCTCTGACGGCAGTCCCAGTTTCCCTTATTCCCTGGTATTTGAGAGAGAACTTAGGATAACTTTTACCACCACAGGACCCTTAATGGTGACAGCCCCAGCCAAACGGTCCCTTACCCAATCCCTATGCCTAGCAAATGTACCACCACTTCCTCTCCTCCTCATTCCCATGATTCAGTCTCAGCTGCCTAGACAAAAATAAAACCCTTTCCCTAGATATCATTTCCCAATATCTCATCCTCATCTACCTTAGTCCTACCTTCTCTGAGTCCCTGTTCTCTCCTTCCATTGTGCCTTCTGAAACTTGCATTCTACTGTTAACAAACAGTTCTTCATCTTGGAATTTATCTACCCTTCAACCATTTCCTGACATATGGAAACTTGTCCCACCCACCTCCCTAGAAAACACCGCATAACTGTCCTGATTCAATACTGGAGACACTTTCAGTCTAGTAGACAACGGGCTAGGAGTAGGCAAACTGCTTTTTTCTGCCATTTCTAGACCCACCCTTCAGCTATCACCACTCAACCACACTTCCTCTTCTGTAGGTCCCACGCCACATTATTATTATCCTAGATATTCCCCTATCTAGATTACAGTAGCAATAAGCCTATATCTAGACTCTCAAGCCATTTTTTTTCTCCTCCAACCAGTTCAGTACTTGGTTCAAAGTCTTCTTCTTCATACCAATTTTTGCCATGATACTCTGAACCCTGGACATACGTGTTGATGTTCTCTCAAGTGCCCTGGCTTCCCAGCTCATTAATCTCAGCTCAGTGTGACCCTGGGTATGTTACTTGATCTCTTGGGGCCTCAGATCCCCTCATTTGGAAAATGAGGGAACCCAACTGGACAGGTTTCTTAAGTCCCTCTCAGCTCTAAACTTAGGACCTTCAAAACTTCTGACCCCTAGCTTTCATCCTGCCTCAGGCACACACAGGTAAGGTCATACCCTTGATGCCTCCATCAACTACCTCCATGATCCAGGACTCTGAAATTCCTCCTTAACTCTTCACTCTCACTCACCCCCCACATCCAATCAGTCGCCAGGTTTTGTCATTTCTACCTTCTCAATATCTCTTCTATCCGTCCCCTTCTCTCCATTCACTCGATGACTACTCCAGCATAGACCTTCGTGTCCTTTTGTACAGACTACTACAATAACAGCAGCTAACAATAATGATAACATTAACATTATATAGTGCTTACTATGTGCCAAGCACTGTGCTAAGTGCTTTACAAATTATCTCATTTGATCCTCACAACAACTCTGGGGGGGGGGGTGTTATTATTATCCCCATTTTATAGTTGAGGAAACTGAGGCAAACAGAGGTTGTTCCTTGCCCAGGGTCACACAGCTGGTATGTAAGACTGGATTTGAACTCAGGTCTCCCTGATTCCAGGCTTGGTGCTCCATCTGCTGTGCTACCTAGTTGTCCATACAATACTACAATAGCATCGGTACCTCTGCATCTACTCTCCATACAGTTTCCAAAATGATACTGCAGAAGCACAGTCAGGTCTGACCACATCACTCCCCTGCTAAAGCTCCAATGGGTCCCCATTGCTTCTGGGATAAAACAGAAATTCCTCTGCTTACCTTTTAAAGACACTCACAATCTGGCTCTAGTCTACCTTTCTGAGCTGATTATTTATATATATGATCTCCCCTTACACATACTGTGCTCCACCAGACTGGTCTCCTTTCTGCCCCCTGGCCAGAACATTCTATCTGTCATCTCTATGTCTTTGCACAAGCGATCTCCTAAAACTGGAATGATCTCCCTCTTCATCTCCCCTCATGGAACCTCAAGCTCCCTGATTCAAGGCTCAGCTCTAGGAGCCTTTTGGACTCCCCAGTGATTGGCATCCTCTGCCCCTGGGGGCAGGACTTAACTGGGACCTGTCATTGCCCCAGTGTAGTAAACCCCCCACTTACAACGCAGATCTGGCAAACGTTCTGCAATTTGACAGAAAGTCAACTGAGTACTGAGATGTTAAATGACTTGTCCAGAGTCACACAGCCAATTCATGCCAGAGACAAGACTTATTTCTAGCTCTTTCCGGTTCTGGGATTGGCTCTCTGCTTAGCATGCTGCCTCTCATTATCTAGTATATGTCCTGTATTCACTTGTCTTTCAGGACGGTTCTTCTTAGTAGAACATGAGCTTTTGGAGGGCAGGGTCTGTCTCACTTTTGTGTTTGTATCCACAGTGCCTGGCACATAACAAGTGCTCAGTAAGTGCTGGGCTGATACTTAATCCTTCCCTCTTCCTCGCTCCTCATCTCCAAATCAGCTGATAAGTCTCAATTATACCTCTACATCTCTTGCAGTTGTCTCCTCTCCAATCACATGGCCCCCACCCTAGTTCAAGTCCTTATCACCTCTCATCTGAACTGTTGTTAACAGCTTCCTAATTAGACTTCCAACTTCCCGTCATTCCCGACTCTGATCCATTCTCCACACAGCTTCTAAAAGAACCTGTCCTGACCGTGGGCAGCTCCTAAGGCTTCCAGGGAAAAAAAAAAGATTCCTCAGCTTGATATTACAGTCCTTGCCAATCTAGTGCCGGCTTACCTTTCCAGACTTATTTCACGTTAACTCCATTTCACGCACTGAGGTCCAATCCAATCAGCCTACAAACACAGCATCTCTTCTACCTCTGTGCCTCAGCATGGGCTGCCCTGTGTTCCTGGGATGCACTCCCTCCTCAACAGGGCCTCCTGGAATGCTCACTTTCCTTCAAGGTTCAGCTACTGTATCATCTCCAATGCAGAGCCCTGCCTCCCCAAACTACCCTGTAAATACTTCTCTGTCTCCACATAAGCTCCTTGAGATGCGACAGTTTTTCATTGTTTTTGTATCTGGACCACTTGACGCACCTACCACTCACGGATGCTGGCAGGATCAGAATGGATTGTCCAGCATCACATAGTGACTTCATTCTAGGGCTATTCTACTGTACCATGCCGCCTTGGAGCCTCTGTTCTCCATGGGATGGTCAGGCTCCCAGGAGAGCACAGCTCTGTCTTCCCAAGGTTCACATGACTGAGGTGGAGATAAAGGAAAGGCAGCATGGTACAGTGAGAAAGCTCTAGCTTTGGAACAGAGGTCCTGGGTTCAAATTCTGCCCCAGCCACTTTGCCTGTGTGCCTTTGGGCAATCTCTTACCCTTTCTGGGCCTGTTTCCTCAGGTGAGAAATGAGGGGTCAGACGAAATGACCTGTAAAGCCTATAATCCCATGCATCACACAAGGATTGCCTCACTCTTTAAAGTCTTTCTCTTCACATCTGAAGAAGGCTGGTATTTCCATCATCAAACAGCATTTACTCCACTGAAGAACACCCCACAAGGGCCACTATGCCCTTGCCTTATTCTATTTAGAAACATGTGTTTTGTAGGGGCCCCTCTGGGGACCCCGAGTTAGCTGTAAGCCCAGCCACAGGGTGAGGACGAGGGGTGGAGGTGGAGGTGGGGGCGAGGGAGACAACTTGATGTAAGACTGTGAGGGGACAGGGACCTTCCCCCAACCCTTTGGATTCTGTTCTAGCTCCTTCAAGTCCCTCTTTTCCCCTCACCTCGAGCACACCCAGAAAAGCCTGGCTCTGCCTCTTCATCCCTCCCAGTACACTTGGGCCAAGGACTAACTGAAGGCAAGGGCTACCAAGTCTTGGTGGAATCACGTCACTTTACAGCTAGAGCGTCTCCTTGTCTCATGGGTGGGGGGGTGCGGGGTTGCTGTGACCGGGTTTTCTCCCCCTAACCCCCAATCTCCTTGACCAACAGGCTCAGGGTTCACCTTACTCCTGCCTTATTTCCTCCAGAGGCAGGCCAGAGGGAGGACAGCAGGCTATACAATGGTTTCTTCTCCTCTATGACTGTCTTAATGTTTATGCTCCATCCCATATCCTATGTCTGATGGCAGAAACAGGTAAGATGAGTCATTGGCCCAGGCTCTGTCCATCCACGCTTTCTAACACAAAGTCCCCATCTCCTCATCCCCTTCCCCACCACCGTCCCGTCCTGCCCCAAAGGGTGGTAGATTATGAGAGAAAAGTAGTCAAAGGAGATAATAGCGTCATAAAACCTCTCCTAGGCCTTGGCTGGCCAAAAGACTTCCCCTTATGTGTAAGAGCCAGTATAAAGGACGGGAGGCTTTTATAAATGACATTACAAAAGGATTTTCATGGTTGACTTGCTTCCAGATGGAAGGATCATTGGTCTGCCCTCACAAAGGCCATTTGCCCAAATACCAGGCATACTGACTGGATCATAAACCCAAGTCCGACACGCATCAGGTCCCATCTCCCAAGGCTCCCAGGGCAGGACCAGGCCCAACAGCAGCACCATGGGCTGGCCTGAGGCAGTCCCTAGGATTCACCCTGTTTGCATAACGGGGTTCTACCTAGCCTTTACAGGCCCCAGTAGGCTGTTGTCCCCCCCTCTCCCTATCAGGGCAGGGAAGAAGCCTGAGAAGTACTCTGTCTGTGCCTATGGCCCAGGACACTCAGCAGCAGCAGTGGTGGGGAGCTCAGCCCCACCAGTAAACCCAGGTTCAGCCACAAGCTCCCCACCGCTGTCACTCAGTGGTCTGAATATACACAGGGACGGCCAGCATGGCACAGGGGCCCTCGGCTCCAGACTGCAGTCCCGCCAGGGTCAGGTTGGGGCCCATACTGTCCGAGTGCCCAGGCACCACCAGCTCAGGCTCACCACCCACTGAGCTTCCCACCACAATAGACAGTACTGCATCTGACTCTGGGAAAGGGTCTTTGCTCGTGCCCCCTCCCTCAGGCCCCTCGCCATTGCCCTTGAGTTCCTCCAGGTCCAAAGCGTCAGGCAGGGCTGTCTTGCGGCCCCGAGCCCCCCGCTGCTTCGGGGGTCGGCGGGCCTGGGCGTCTTTGTCCTTGAGCAGGCCCAGCCGGCAGCGGTGCTCTTTCAGGTACTTGTTCCGTGTGAAGCCCTTGCCACAGCTGGAGCAGCGGTACTTATAGTTGTCGGTGTGGGAGCGCTGGTGCTCCACGAGATGGGCCCGGCGGCTAAAGCATTTGCTGCAGAACTGGCAGTTGTGTATCTTCATCCCTGTGTGTGAGCAGAACGGACAGAGGGGGCAGGGAAGTCACAGAAGCCCATCCTCAGGGCAGGGGCCACCCCCTGGGGCACACAGGGGGAATACTGAAGCACCCAGAGGGCAAATGCTTTAACCAAGCTCATTCAGGGGCAAAGTCAGGGCCAGCTCGGTTTCCTGATATCTAGCCCAGGTCTTTGTCCTTGGACATAAGCATCTTCCCATCACAGGGAAGAAAGAATGCATTCTCTCCCCTTCTACCCAGCATGCCACTTTCCCCAGGAGCTTCTGGGCATGTGAGCCACTTACCTGAATGGGAAAGGATGTGAGCCTTCAGCTTGTCTGGCCGATTGAACTCCTTACTGCAACCTGTATGCGTCCTATAACAACCAAATCCTCTTATGTCCGGGAAGCTGGAGCCACTCAGACTGACCCTCCCTCCATGCCACAAGAGGCATCTTATCCTGCAAGCAGCGCCCCCTCATCAGCTCACTAGGAGAGGGGGCACTTGGGGCAGAACAGATGAGGTAAACAATGAATAAAAGTCCAAGGATGGAAGGGAAACCTTCCACCCTGGAGTCTTCCCCAGAGCAGGGCCCTAGTTTTACCAATGTGGATACTTTTTTAGGGAGGGAGGGCATCTGTTTACCAGTTTCTGGGAGCAAGTGCCCAAGGACTGATGGACTTTCTTGCCCCTAGAACAAAAAAGGCTCAAAACTCATCAGCTTCAACATCAAACACATTTCCTCAACTCATAAGAGAAATACAACGTCAGAGCAAGTAGGGACCTTACACAGATCATCTAGCTCAACTTTCTCATTTTACATATGTGGACACTGAGATCTTGAAGAAGGAATGGGCCTTGACAAAGACACCCAGTCCCGGATTCTTTCCATGAGACAAAACATAGCCCCTCCCCCACGTACTGGACACCCTCACACTGTTCTGGCCTGCCCCACGTGCCATCCAGGGGCTCTGATGGCTGCAGCCAGCAGCATTCCTTTGTTAAAGCCTGCCCTGGGAGGATCGGCAGCCCTTCTTCTACCACCCTGGATTCACCCCTGCCCAAAAGTGATGCTACGTACGAGAAGGGGCACGTGTATTTCTTGGTTGGCTCGTGGATCAACATGTGTCGCTTCAACTTGTCTTTCCGATTAAAGGCTGAGTCGCATAAAGAGCATTTAAAGGGTTTTTCACCTGTATGGGGGAAATAGCAAAGGCCCAAATGACCAGGGTCCAATCGTCTACAGTCCTTTTCCCTGAAATGGGAAGCAGGGAGCTCAGCACAGCATTGAGAAGCCTGGGAGAACAGAAGCCTAGGGCACTCCTACCACCCTTCTTCCTAAGGAGCAGCAAGGTGCCCAGCTAGCTTCAGAGTCAGGAGGGAGACCTGAACTCCTCTCCCCTCCAGCACCTTCTGGTGATGACCCGGGAGAGGGCATTGAAACTCACACAATTCTCTAAGACTGTAAGGTACAGATCTGTATTGGTGGGTGGATTTCCTCACTGGGTAGTTCCATTTATTGAAGAAATCACAAGGCCAGGAAAAAAAAATATTACTTTGCTGAAGACAGAAGAAAGGAACAAGCATTTATTAAGCACCTGCTGTGTGCTGGGGATTGTGCAATTATTATCTCATTTGATCCTCATAACAACCTGGAAGGTAGGTGCTATTATTACCTGTTTTACAATTGAGGAAACTGAGGCAGACAGACCAGTGTCACACAATTAGTAAGAGGCCTGATTTAAATTCAGGTCTTCCTAACGTGGGGCAGCTAAGTGGTGCAGTGGATAGAGCTCCAGGCTTGAAGTCAGGAAGACCTGAGTTCAAATCCAACCTCAGACACCTACTGGCTATGTGACCTGGGCAAGTCACTTAACCTCATTGGCCTCAGTTTCCTCACCTCCAAAATGAGCTGGAGAAGGAAATGGCAAACCACTCCAGTATTTTTGCCAAGAAAATCCTAAATGGGGACCATGAGGAGTTGTACATGACTGAAACCAGTGAATAACTACCTGACTTTAGACCCAGCTAGGTGGTGCAGAGGATAGAGTGCTGGGCCTGGAATCAGGAAGATCTGAATTCAGATCTGGTCTTGAGCACTAGCTGTATGACCCCAGCCAAATTACTTTACCTTTATTTGCCTCAGTTTCTTCAACTGTAAAATAGGGCTATTGTTATCAATAGCACCTCCCTCCCAAGGCTGTTGTGAGGATCAGATGAGACAGTAATTGGTTTTTTTTTTGTTTTTTTTTCAACATTTATTTATCAACATTCACTTTTACAGGATTTTGAGTGTTAAATTTTCTCCCCCTCCTTCCCTTCTACCCTCCCCAAGGTGGCGTGTGATCTGATATGGACCATACATGTACAATCATATTAAACATGTTTCTACATTAGTCATATTGTAAAGAAGAACCAAAGGGAAAAACCACAAGAAAGGAAAAAAATAAAAGGAAAAATAGTATGCCTCAATATAAAATAATAATTGTAAAGTCCTTAACATAGTACCCAGCATATAGTAAGTGCTGTATAAATGTTAGCTGTTACTATTATCCACTGTACCACCTAGCTTTCTAGAACAGAGAGACAGTCAGGAAGAAGGAAAGGAAAGAAGGAAGGAAGAAAGGGATGGAAGAAGGGAGGTATAGAGAGCACTAGACCTGGAGTTAGAAATTTCACGGGTTCATATCTGGTTTCAGACACCAGCTGTGTGACCCTGAGCAAGTCACTTAACCTCTATCTGCCTTAGTTTCCTCATCCGTAAAATGGGGATAATAATAGCACCTACTTCCCAGGGTTGTCATGAGGATCAAATGAGGTAATATTTGTAAAATGCTTTGTAAGCCTTAAGTCACTATGTAAATGCAAGAGTTGGGAACCTGGTATGAGGGATACAGGCTCTGAATTCCTAGAACCCTACAGTAATGCTTATTGCTGAGGTCAGTCATAAAATAGTCTGCTTTACTCAAAAAGGTAAATACCCCCCCAAAATCAGCAAAGCCCCAGATCCTACTTGTAGGGACAGCCATACAGACCCAAACCAGAGGGAAAATGAGGTTATAATAGGAAGATTACATCAGATGTCTTCTCCATAGAAAAGTGGGGAGCTAGGGAAGGATCTACGAAGGTAGTAGGGCCTGAAAAGAGTTTCTGAAAGAGGGTAGAGGGCTAGGGATGATGTGTGGAGACTGTCCCCAGGATATGGGTAGCATGAAAAACAACATGGGAGCAGGGGGGAATGAAAGGAGATAAGGATCAGGGGGTAAAAGGTATTTGGACCAAATTGGGGAAAGAGAGGCAAATGAGGGGGAAAAAACCTTAAAGGTTTTTTAATATCAAGAGATATTCTTTAGGCCTGTGAGGCAGTGAATGGGGGATGTGACAGGTAGATAGCAAGAACAACGCCAGGGACAGAAAAGGCTCCAGGCAGCAGCTCTAAGTGCCTGCCTCCACCTACCAGAATGAATGTGGGCATGCAGCTTGAGGTAGTGCTCCCTCCGGAAGAACTTCTTACATATCTGGCACTTAAACTTGCCCCCGCTGCCATGGGTGGGCAGATGACGTCGAAGGTACCGCTCACAGGGGAACACCTGGGAGAGGAGGAAAGAAGGCAGCATCAGGGACCAAGCTCACCAGGAACCCCTGCCTTCTCCACTCTCTAGCCCCATGACTTGGCTCTTGGGGCTCTCCCCACTAGGCTAATTTAAGGAACATTTTCCTATGGGGGAGTGAAGACTTCTATTCTGTAGCCTACGAGATGGAGGCAGAAATCAGCTCTGGCAACTGTAATTTCACTGCTTACCCTTTCTCCCACATCCCTCTGCCCAGAGAAAGGCAAGAATGCAAACCGTACAGAAAACACTGAAACCAATCAGTCAACACAGATTTGCTAAGTGGCTACTGTGTGCAAAGCCCTGTGATGGGTACAAAGACGAATAGGACATGGTACCCACCCTTGAAATGCTCTTTTTTTTCTTTAACATCACAGTGTGAGTTCCTCTGTGAAATTACACCAAAGTGTAGGATGTCTTGGAGGAGAGGGGAATGCCCCACCGTGAGGCCTCCAAATATGTGTGTCATTCCATTAGCATTTCCTCCCACCCAGAGGGGTTTCCCCCTCCCCTCAGGGCTCCAGGACAGAGTCCACTGGAAAAACTGGGCCAAACCAATCTACCACGGCTGACCTGACCACCTGCTCCAGCTCCCCCCAGAGTCCCCACCCTGTGGCCTTGGGGACCGAGGCAAAGACACAGAAGAGCTACTAACCAGAGCTGGGGCTCCAATTCCCCTCCTGAGCTACCTCAGTACAAAGCAGTCAATCCTCTGAGATTGGCCCTGCCCCCACGGCGAGCCTCTCACTTCCTTATCTATAAACAGAGGAGTAAGCAGCTAAATTTTAGTTTGGAGTTTTCATGTTCTTTGTGGGGGCTCAGGGCAATGATCAAGTAAGCTGTGAGAATCCCCATCTGTCCCTTGACTCTCCATGGCCCTAAGCCCTTGAGGAAGGCGGGGATTGAGGTAATGACAGGCAAGTCTCAACCAGAAAAACCCCACATACTACCAGGTTGAGACAGCTGAGTTGGGGCAGGGGTACAAGAAAGAGGCTGCAGCAGAGAGCAGATCTGCCTCTGCCTAGACCTGGTGCCCTGGGTCACAAAGAGCAGGGGGATTATTTTAGCAACCAAGCCCTAACTCACTCCAACCTGGTATGCCTCAGAATCACCACTGTGGTAAAAGACAGTAAGAGCCCACGAGCCCTCCAGTCCTTGGGGTGGGCAATTTGGGGTCTGGCAGAGCTCAGGATCTAAAGCCATCCATAACAAATGTTACAGAGATACTTGGGGACAGAACTGTATTCTTTAGGAGTAAAGGAATGAGTGTTGTCTTCTCACCTGAGACACCCCAGAGGACCTCCCAGTACGTACTGAGGTAGGAAGGGAGAAGGAGAAAAAAAGGAAAGAAATCCCAGTTTCTGGGCCACCCACTCTTTCTAGGCACCTTTCAGGGGGAAACTAGCACTCACCTTCTGGCAGTGTGGACAGGGGAAGTTGTGAGTTGCTGTCTGGAGGTGGTGCTCCAGGGCTTCCGGGGTAGAGTATTTATTGACACATTTGACACACCTGAATGGGAAGGAGTAAGGAGAGTTGAAATATTGGAGACTGGACTCCCCAGGACAGGCAGTCAAAGCTCAAGCCAGACCACCCGTTTTTTGCCGTCCCAGAAACCTGTCCAAGGAACAGCAGGACCTTAGGAATGGAGGAAAAGGATGGTCAGCCAACAAGGCAAATCAGCAGTCCTCCATCCTATTCTCAGGATCCCTGCTGCCTCATCTGTGTTGTGGCCTAGTAATCACCCTCTCTGACTAACTCCGTTTTCCCAACTGGCTGTGCCTAAAACTTTCAAGTTCCTTTCTCATTCCTACAATCAACTAGCACAATTCTTTTTGAGCCATGGGGCAAACTCTCTTCTTAGGCTCTCAGGCATTCTACTAGGCCTTCCAAAAAATGGTTTTCAAATACCTCCTGCCAGCTAATCACTTTGATGGTGAAGGAAAAAAAAAAAAGGACCACCAACCCACATGTTCCCACTTATTACAGAAAAAAAATAACCAGAACAAATAGGAAAATAGTTCAATTTTTTATAAGCTACAGTAAAGAGAGCCTTAGTGATGAATTAATGTCAACATGCCATGATTTTTTTCAGTACAGAAAGTTCCTCCACCAATAGCAGCTCATCTATACCTGAGTCCTTCAGGTCTCAGCTCTGGTACCACTTTTTTCATGAAGACTTTCCCATTCCCCCAGGGGCTGGTGCTTTCCTCTCCAATTATCTACTTTGTATCCACCTATGAATTTGAATGTTGTCTTTCCTGGCCAAACTGTGAACGCCTACAGGACAAGAAGGCTTCATTTGTGTCTTTTATCCCTAGCCCCTAACAAAGTTTCTGGCCTAATACATACCTCTTGGTTGGTGAGTCTTAAGGAGCTGCCAAAGGCTCAGAGAGGATAAGTCACTTGGCCCTAACTGTCACAAAGCTAGGATCAAAGGCAGGACCTAAACCCAGGTGTGACTCCAGTTCTAGCACTCGATCCAATAGACCATGTCGACTCTCAATGAGAATTAATGTCAGAAACTAATACAGATGTTGTCAGGTTACAGATATTAATATTAGCAGAGATCCACCCCCAGACCCCTGGAGAACACTCACAGAACAGTTGGAGAACTACTGCCTTAATCTGAAGAAGGGGGGAAAAAGGAAGGGGAGAGAAACAGAAACAGAGATGAAGGGGGGGAAGAGGAGAGGAAAGAAGGGGAGGGGAGAGGAGAGAACTGTGTGTATGTGCAGCCACATATATGTGAGTGAGACAGAAACTGTCCTCCACCCTAAAGGCTTACAAAACCCTAAGTCCAAGTGTGAACCACAGCAAGATCTTCAGCAAACAGAAAGGTGGTGATCCTTGAGCTAATTAATGCTCACCTCCCAGGTACTAGACACAATATGAAGAACCCATGCCTGCTTTCTCAGCAGACTGTGCTACCCTCATCTCCTAAGCACAGATAACTCTCAGAGGTGAAACACTTTTTTCTTTGTTTCTGACAGTGTCAATTGGTGCTTCATGTCCTGAATTTCTCTTAGCCTGATGAGAAAAGTCTGTATTTTTCAACACCAAAGAGAAAAGTTTACACACTTCCAGTTGCTACTTCCTAAGGTTTAACTGGATTCCAAAGAAGGATCATTGGGGAGGATAGAGGGAGGGCACAACAGACCTGAATTACGCTCCCTCTCCCACACTCCTCTTTTCCAAGTTCTTTCTGAAATCTGCTCAAACAGTATGGTCCCAAGATGCCTCCTAACCTTTGGGCTCTGACCCCGTTGAAGAGCCAGATCAGAAATCTTTCGGATTCTGGCTGGAGAGGTCTGGTTGCCTAGGATAGACTTCTAATCAAAAGGGGCTTTCTTCCAGACATACTTGGACATAAGACTTAAAATGGACTAAGGTTTCTGTGGCTCCAAAAAGGGAAGGCCAAAAGGTGTTTATAGCAAGAAATCAAAACTCAGGAGCACATCCTGGGGTTCAGATCACTTTCCAAAGATGAAGGGGAACAGATTTAAAAATTCAGGTTTCACATTTAGAAACCTGCACATTCATAGGTTCCAACAAATAACCTCGGATGTCCACACAAATACTGCACATTATGAAAGACAATGTGGGGGTGGAGTGGCAACAGTACTTTCCTTGGGGGGAGATGATCTGGGTTCATCTCACCCCTGCCACTTATCAGTGGTGTGACCATGGGCTGGTCATTTCACCTAATCTATGTTTCAGTTTCTTCATCTATAAAATAGGGATATTTGCAATCTCTTTCTGACACAGTTCTTGTGAGGCACGTATTTTATAAACTTTAAATAGAGGTTGTTATTATTATAGATGAAAAAAGTTGGTTTAGGGCAGATGACACATTATATGTTCAAAAGAAAAAAAAGCCTCAGGCATGGATATTGGACATGAATTAACCAACTAACCACCCTGTCCCGTCTGTCAGACCCCACAGCTGGAAACGTGAACCAGCCCCTGCTAAATGACCTACACTGTTCCTTAGCTCCTGGTGCCCTCCCTTTCCACTCCAGCCTCATCCATGACTGTCAGAGCCTGGTCCTTTCTAGATGTCACCCATGCTGTGAGGACACAAATATTTAGGAACTTGTACATGTACTAGTCCCAACAGATGACCCATGGATATCCACACTAATACTGTCAAGAAGAAAATACATCTATGTGCTCAGACTCCTGGCACCTCCTTAAAGGTCTGCATGGGTTCTGAGCTTCACAAAAACTCAGTCCTGCCTGCCCAGGATTCTGTCATAGGCAAAAGTAGCCCCTGCCTGGAGATGCCCTGACATTACTTGTAGACCGTGACATCCTTCTTGGGGCTGTGCTGAGGCAGGAGGCTGTGAGAGTACTGGTGCACACCCAGCTCATACAGAGAGGGGAAGTCCTTGCTGCACAGGTGACATCGGTAGCTCAGCTCCTCCTGGTGACTCTTGATATGCTCCAGGAACATGTCTAGCTTCTGGAACGTCTGGGCGCAGCTCTTCACGACACACTTGTACACCTGGAGGGAGGCCCCAGGCAGTGGGGAGAAAGGGGTAAGCAATGGGGAGGTGTGCCTGCCCCTTCCATTCCCTGATGTCAGATCAGTCATGGCTCAGGACCTAGACAAACAGCCTCTATTCCCTCCTGCGAGGATGATGCCATGGACAGGAGGCCTGGCTGAGGATAAACCTGCTTGGAGCGAGCCCTGAGCCAGATGCATTCACTCCCACAAGCTGCCCTTCTCCTGAGGTTGACTCAGGGGCCTGCCTTTACTGATGAGGCTTGTGGCCCTCTGTGACAGGTCAGCAGACAGGCCTCACTCAAGTAGGATTTGGCAGGGGGGACAATCGCCCCATGTCTCTGGCTGAGCTGTCCCTTTCCAGGTTATCTCAAGGCCACTGGTATCAAAGGAGGGTGCCCAGTTCCTTAGCCAGGCAGGATTCAGGAAGAGGGTGAGGATGGAGTAGACCAGTGACTGCCTACCTGCTCATTCTTATGCTGGGTCATATGTGACTTGAGCTGGAAGTATGTACTGAACTTGTTTGGACAGAACTGACACTGGTAAGAGCTGTCGATGAGGACCACCTGCTTGGCTTCCAGTTTTCCTGCCTCGCTTTCATCAGCTGAAGCCAAGACTTGAGGCTGGGGAACAGTCCTGGGGGGCTGGCTAATCCCTGCAGAAAACCACAGAGGATGAATCAGGACAACGGACGGGAAAGAGCTCAATTAATCAGCATTTACTGAGCACCGACAACGTGCTTGGTGTGATGCTAGGCATTCTGGGAGATAAAAAAGAAAAATGAGTCTTTCCCCTCAGGGAGACAACATTCACATGAAGCGCTTAAATAACTGTACCAGGCAGTAAACCTAGATTTACCATGCAGCCCTTAGGGAGGAGGGGACTGGACAGGAAGAGCTGCATCCTGCCTGCCAACTGAATAGTCCTAGCCATCTTGAGGCTTGAGGATACTTGAGACCAAGGTACCCACCAAGAAAGGCACAGATACCCTCAGCCCCAGGGACCACAAAGGAATGTTCCACAAAAGAGGAACAACTTATTTGCCTTGGGGAACATGGAATGACACTTCTCTGGTCCTCCTCTTGATACAGAGTGTTAACGAACCTGTGGGCGTAAAGCCGAGCAACCCAAAGGCGTGAGGATATCTCTAGGGCTGCCACCTCAGGCCCTGGTGCCTGACCTGCCCCAATACCCAGCCCCATGGCTCCTCAGCTTCACACCTGGGTCCTCCTCATTCTCCTGCTGGGTGGGGTTCAGGGCCATGACCTGAACAGTCACTGAGTTCCGGGAGATGGTGCACCCATGCCCTGGTGGCCACACCTTGTGGGTCTGCATGTGCTTCTTGACATTTGACTTCTGTGCAAAGGCCCGGCCACAGACAATGCATTGGAAGGGTTTCTCCCCTGTGTGGCTAGAGGGAGAAAGAAATCAGTCGTCCAACCATTTGCTTAAGAGAGGGATGATGGTTACTCTCTGGAGCCAGGAGAGCTCAGGTCACACTCCTGGGAAGACCCCATGGACTGATGCAGAGAAAATTCACACCTGAACTGCCTGTACCCACCATACAAGGGCCCTGGAAGGGTAAAGGGAAAAGAAGGATGCCTTATTTGCTCTGGAGACATTGTCATTTTTCCCCAGTGCTCCAGGCAACAGAGAAAAAGATGCCAAGGCCCTGCCATGGTCAGCACTCCATAAACAGTGGGGAAGCTGGGGGCAGCTGCAGCCTACCAGTCCAAGGTGGGGTAGAAGGGCTGGTGCCCTCCTCAGAGATAATACCTGACCTTCCCCTCCCAGGTACCTTCGGATGTGCTGCTGCAGGTCAAAGTTCTTGGTGAATGTCTTGTTGCAGTAGGTACACTTGAGTTTCTGACACTTGGGTTTTCCTGCAGTAGAGATCAAAATGAGAAGGGGGGAGGAATAAGGAGGAATTAGAACAGGAGGAAAGTAGAGGGTAGGGCTTTACTTATAGCTCACCTGCATGGCAGCAGCTGCACTAGTGGAGGCATCATACATGGCAGAGGCAACAAGGGAAGGCACATATTTCCCTGCTGAGGATGAAAGGACCTCAGCCCTGAAGCCCTACCTGCAAAGCCTCTGAAAAGCATCCTGGTCCTCTTCTCATTCAATTTCTGCCACCTCAACCTGAGGCTCCCCCACAGAAAAGGCCTCAAAGAGAAGGCTCTTAATCTCTTCTGTGTCATGGACCCTCTGGGCAGTCTAGTGAAGTCAATGGACCTCTTCACAGAATGGTGTTTTGGAATGCATGGGATAACAAAGGAAACCCATTATATTGAAATACAGCTATCTATCTATCTATCTATCTATCTACATCTATATTTTTTTTTTTGGTGAGGCAACCGGGGTTAAGTTACCTGCCCAGGGTCACACAGCTAGTAAGTGTCAAGTGTCTGAGGTCACATTTGAATTCAGGTCCTCCTGACTCCAGAACCGGTGCTCTATCCATTGCCCCATCTAGCTGCCCCTACCAAAATATATTTTTAAGAAAAACCTAACTACATGGACCTCAGATTAAGAACCCCTACCCTAGGGCCACCTCAGGTGTGCCCTGCCTAAGATTGTTAGCCAAAAAAGAGAAATTACCCGGGTAGCTCACATACCAGAAGTAGAAGCCCAATAGGAACTATCTGCCGGCCCCTTCCACATGATGTCAATTCCTTAGGGCAGGAACGGTGGTTGCCTTTCTTTGTATCCCAAGTGCCTGGGATAGTAAATGCTGAATAAATGTTTATTGTCTGGCTGTCTGATCACTACTAATGTGTGACTCCCAGCTTTGAGGTCTTAGGCTTATAATGGAAGCTGAATACAATTAATTATATCATTAAATTCATGCGGTCCACACAAGATTTCTGATCATGTGGCCTACTCCTGAAAAATCTGGATGCTCCTGACCTAGAAGGGTAACCCCAGGAATCAAGCACTTTGCTCAAAGGGACCCGGACCCTACCTTCTTGGAGCCCACCATCGCTTTTGGGGCGCCGGGTCTTCAACGTGGAGGGGGAATTGAAAGCAGCCACATTACCACTGGCGGTGCTGGTCAGGGGGGCAGGTGGGGTTGGCCCTTTGGGTTTGAAGCCCTGTTTCCCAGGGCTATACACAGGGGGGCTGGGGTACACAGGATTCTCCACACACTGGTTTGGGACCTGAAAACACAAAGTTATCAAGGAGAGCTCCCCAGTCTACTTAGAGCCGCCTGAACCAAGGATGGAAGTTACACCTTTATAAATGGTAGCACCAGGTGGGACCTTAGCAACTCTAGTGAGTCCCTGTCCTTCTCTGGGCCTCATATATCCTCCTCTGGAAAATTCAGGGAGGTAAATGAGATGATCAAGAAGGTCCCTTCCAGCTCTAAAATCCTCTGTTTATGAGAGATCTAAATCAAACTCTACTCAGCAGAACCTCATCCGAGGATCAAAAAAGTTAAATGATTTGCCTAAAGCCACCAAGTAAGCTAGGGGATCAAGCCAAGGCATCCCCATTTCAGGACTCCGTCCATTTTATGCTGCTTCTTTCTTAATTCTCCACAATCTTTAAGCATCTTCTCTTCCTTTGCATTTCCTCCCAGTGCCCAGCATATAACTCATAGTATTATATGACAGTGTAAAATGCTTCCTCCAACTTGACCTGTCTAGCCCCAGCCTGAGTGAATTCCTCCTACCTAATAATCCTGCAGGAAATTCAGCCAGTTCACCCTCTCCCACAGATCTCAAGTGACAACCCACTCTTACATCTCCAACTCAGCACATTGGCCAATGGCTGGCCCACAGGAAAGGCACATGTGAGCTCGAGAAAACAATAAATTAACATCTAAGAGGTGTCAGCAATCTATTAGAAAAGCCTGAGGAGTCAAACTGCCCTGTGAGCTACCCACTCCCAAGAGGCCCAAGCACAGTTTAAAGAGAGAAGTTTATCCCCACTGTCTTCAAAGGGACAGTCCTGGCACGATCAAAAGGCCACAGGTCTGGAATCGGAAGAGATCTCAGAGGCCTCAGAGTCCAACCCCTCTCGTTTTATAGAGAAGGAAACTGAGGCTCTTGGTGGGAAAGTGACTTGCCAAAAGTCACACGGGTCGGAGGCACCTTTTGAACACAGGTCTTGGGACTCCAGAGCCAGTGCTTCTTCCATCCTGCCAAATGGAAGCTACAGCCTCTTTGAGAATCTTGTCTTCAGCCTTGACATTGTGTTAGCAGCTTTTCTCCCCTCTAGTCCCACCTTTCTGAGATATCTGTCTTCCCACTAACAGCCCAGGACAGTACCCCACTTTTGAGCCTTTTCATCCGAGCCATAGTGTAGGCCCCTGACTGCCTCTCTCCCAACTAGGATCCTGACAGTGTCCATTGCTTTTTATCCTGTCACCAGGAAACCTCTGGATGTGCCCTCCCTCACTGGCCTCACCTCCCGGCCCCCTCCCCAGAGATGAGTGTCCCGTTACCTCCAGAGGTGGGTAGGGCTGCATCCCCAGCGCTTGGATCTCTACCACATTGCTTCCTGCCAGGGGGGCAGGGGCATTGTAAACCTCTACCACTCCACTGCTACCCGTGTTGGGACGTCCTGGAGCCCCAAGGTTCTGCGGAGGGGGAGGGGGAGGAGGAGGAGCTTGTGGGGGAGGGGGAGGGGGCAATGGCGGAGGTGGGGGAGGAGGTGGTGGGGGCTGAGGGAGGTAGCCAGGCCCTGAGTGCATACTCAGGCTGCTCTAGAATGAGAAGAGGTAAAATAGAAAATCAGAAAGAAACATGGCATTAAGACTGGGTATCATCATAACAGAAAAATACCTTAAATTTGTTTAGCACTTTACAATTTATAAAGCACTTTTATGTAAAATAGCCCATTCGAAGCTCACAAGAATACTATTACACAGGCAAGGTAGACATTAGCACCACCCTCATTTTACAGATTAGGAAACTGAGATTCAGAGAATCTAAGTAACTTCAGCAAGATAACACATACATCACGTCTCTTTCAACCCAGAAACCAAACCCACCTATGTGAAAAGCAGAGTTATTTGGGGAATAGGTTTGGAGGAGGAAGCTGAAAGGGAGACCATGAAATAAAACTGGACTTGTGCTCAGAACAGAAATGACCGTTTACTGCTTTCCCTTCAGACTAAAGCCCTGCTGTGAGTCCCACGGCTCCATCCTAGGACAGACGTGACTTCACAGCTCTAGGCCAGGCAACAACCATCTCTTTCACCAATGGCAGCCTTCGTGAAGGTCTGCAGCAGGGCCTTTACGCTATAACTGCTCGTTCATTTTATAGTGCCTGGTTTGTCATTTCTATGACCCTTCTTATGTTACATATACAGTAGAAAGGATGTGTTTGCTTCTTAGAATTTTCTAACTGCAAGTGCCATCTTTCCTCTTGGAATGCAAAGAAATTGATATTGCTTGGTAAAGAATATACACATGCACACCGACATTTATACACAGCTATGCTAATGCTAATAAGTGAGGCCTTTCCCCCTACATTAGGATCTTTGTGTATTAGAAGTTTATTGCCCTCTCGCTTAGAGAATCTAAATTAGCAAGTCTACGTGAAATCCCCAAGAGATAAAGCTCTAAGCACTCCACCAGAGGATCTTTAATTCACATTTGAGAGGACCACTCAAAGCCATCCTCTGGTGACGGATGGACTGGGCAATTTTGAGGCAGAACTCTCTGAGAAGTGTATGCCCATGTTAACTGGCTGCTCTTCCGAATATTCACATAGTTTTAATTGCTTCTTGGTTTCTTTTTCTTTCAGTCCTAAAAGCAGCCAAGAGAGTCTGAACCTATCTCCCCAATTATACCTTCAAAAATAAGTGTCTGCCTAGGCCCAAAGAGCCCCATAGCACCTGGGATCATCAGTAAGAGCCTTCATATCATCCTTATTAGCCAAGTTGGAATTGATGGGGGTCACTCCAATCCTATCATTCTTATCTTCCCCTCAACCAATTACAGTGCTCAAAATTCAGACATAATCTTGCTCCCCACTAATCACTGTCTTAGAATCCCTAAAATAAAGAGAATATTCCTGATACATATCACAGGAAGGGACTTTTTTTTTTTTTTCTGGCTAGGCAATGGGGTTAAGTGACTTGCCCAGGGTCACACAGCTAGTTAAGCGTTATGTGTTTGAGGCTGCATCTGAACTCAGGTCCTCCTGACTCCAGGGCCGGTGCTCTATCCACCGAGCCACCTAGCTGCCCCAACTTTTTTTTTTTAAACACAAAAGAAATTCTTGGAAGCCATAGTAGGAGCTGCCATACCATCACCCAATCTGGACGCAGATTTGGAGAACCCAGATTTTGTAGCACACCATTCCTGTGGCCTCAGTCAGCTGTGCGGAATATCCTTAAATAAGTCTCATTTGAAAACAATTCTTTGCCATAAGGGGTGGCTCTCCACGAATGGGAGACAGCAGCATACAGGGGAAATTTAGGCAATATAAAAACAACAGAGATTAGTAAAAAATTATTTTTAATTTATCGTATGTTTCTATTTGGGTACATAAATCTCATGTGGCTATTTTCTCCTTTTCCCTTTGCTACTATGGAAACTGGGTTGCCACATAATCACTCCTTTAGAGAGACCTTTGCTACCAAACATAAGCACTAAAATGGGGAAACTGATCAGTCACCTCATTTTAAAACACCTAAAACTCACACAAGGAGTTCAAATTGCTGCAGCAAGGGGCCCTAATTCAAGGATCTAGAGTCTGCCTGAATTAGAGGAGATCAGAATTGCTCACAAGGGAGAAAATAAGAATAAATCATTCCTTACTTTTCACCAAGATCTTTGAAAAATAGCGGGCAGCTTATAGGTTAGAAAGGGAATCAAGACAATAAACAAATTTAATCTTATGAAGAAGCTGTACTCCATTATCCTAATGTGGCACAAATTCTCCTTACCTGCACCGGGGGCTGCACAGGGGGCTGCACAGGGGGCATCGGCTGATCCAGTGATGTAAAGGCTGACATGGCTGACATGAGCACTTCATCGCTCACCAAAATGTTCCCTTGTACCAGGGTCTGGATCAGAGGGGATGGGGGCACTGTGATGTAGGTAGAGATCTGCTGCAGGGAACACACATGAGAACAGGATGTCACACAAGAAGGGATCTCCACCATTGGAAAGAACCCAACGCCCCCTCTCTGAATCCCTCTTCTCCTGACTCAGAATGATCACTTGGCAGCAAGAATTCCCCTGTTCAGAGACACTATCATCTAATAATAAAAATAACTGATTTTAGAAAGCATTTTAAAATTTGCAAAACCTCTTTATGTTGTTTCTTATGTACATATCCATGGTAAACTCTGGACTTTCATTTGCTTTCATATTGAGCAGATGGCACAGAAAGGTTTACTGAAAGCCAAGGGACATAGAGACCAAAAAAGGTTGGCAATGCCTCTACTATCTCCATTTTACAGATAAGAAAAGTGAGGCCCAGGGAAGTTAAGTGACTTACAAAGGGTCATACAGAAAGCAAATGTGGAATGTGAACCTTGATCATCCTGACTCCAGGACCAGCACTCTAACCACTTCATCACTAACAGCATATACTTTCCACAGACAAAATAAGAACAATACATGACAGGTGAGAGTCTTCAAGAGACAGGGTTACAAAGAACAGAACGACAGAACACAATTTAATCACTTCCCTCTTCGGTTTCACTAATCATTGCAAAAGGACCTCTCATCAACCCTGTACCTGAGGGAGATATTTATAATCCTCCAAAGACACTAATCTCTATTTTCAATAAAACAAAACAGAACAATAAACTATATTTAGACTCTAAGCAACAAATTATATTATTAATATACATTTATATATAATACACAATGTATATTAATACTCCATCACATACAGACTCAACTGTCCCTTCTTGAAGTCTGAGAAACTCCATTCTCTCAAAGGGAAGTAAAGATATAATTTATGACAATGAGAATAGTAATAGCTAGCATTTATACAGCCCCTGCCATGTGCCAGGCATTGTGCTAAGCACTTTATAAATATTATCTCATTTGATCCTCACAATAATCCTAAGAGGTAGGTGCTGCTATTACCCCCATTTTATATTTGAGGAAACTGAAGCAAACAGAGTTTAAGTGACCAGGGTCACACGGCTACTAAGTGTCCGAGGCCACATTTGAACTCAGGTCTTCCTGGCTCCAGGCTCAGCACTGTGTCCACAGTACCACCTAGCTGACCCTATATTTTTGCCATAGAGTCAAACACAAATCAGTTAACTTCCTCTACTGACAAAGAAAGCATGAGGCAGTTCTACTTATAAAACTGCCCTTGTCTGGGATCATAATCCACTCTCAGCTGAACTCTAACATTTGATCAGCAAACTCTGGGGAGTTTGTTCTTTGAACAAGGGGGAAAAAATTTAAAAGACACAATCATCTTTAATTGGGCTCAAAATACAAAGTTTTAAGGGGGAAGATGCTTGACCACAGATATAAGTTCTCTAAAATTCTCACGGAGCTGAAATCTTTCTCTGCAGCTTGCCAACCCAAATATAGTAATGTTACTACTGCAGTGAAAACCCAGAGGAGAAGCCAGGCTGAATGAGAGATAAAAATAACCAATCTAGTTTCATTGTTTTGGCTGAAAGAAAAAAAATGCAGGCAATTTCCTTCCCTTAGAATGTTTTGTAGACTAATTTTTCTTTTTAAATTCAAGGCCTCTCTATCTCACCCAGGTTGGAAGTATGGTGGTCACTCACAGGCCAATCCCTAGGCTAACTGACACAGAAACTTTGACCTGCTCCATTTTCAACCTGGGCTGCTTCATCCCTCCTTAGGCAGCCTGGTGGCCTTTCACTCCACAAGGAGCTCATCATATTGGTGTCAAAAGAAGTGAGAATACTCGATCAGCTCTAGCCCCACTGCAGCTCAGAACTCCCCAACTCAGGTGACCCACCAGCCTCAGCCTCCCCTTGTAGCTGGGAATTCTAATATATGGCATCACACACAGCACTAATGTTTGGGTTTTTTTATTTATTTTTTATTTTTTAGTTGGTCAAGTACAGTGAAACCAATCTAGAACACTGATTATGCTAAAAAAACAACACATCCACTTCTTGGTGGATCTCAGCAGTCCTCTTAAGGCAAAATTCTAAAACATGATCTACCTACAATATGAAGATGTAGTAAGTAGCCACTGTCATGGTTTTCATCTGTAATTAGCTTGTATTTCTAAAATATTAATCCAGAGAAATTAACTGCACACAACCTAGAAACTGTACTTGGGGAAAGGACATTGATATCAAGTCAGGGCCCTTGGAAATGCAAGTTAAAATTACTGATAACTGTCTTGGTATTAGAGTTGTTCCCTTAAACATGGAGGGCAGATTTTCTTGTATTCTTTCTAATTGGCACTCAGAAATACTTTTTTGCAAAAAAAAAAAAGCTCACAATTCTTTGATTATGATAAGAGATAGGAAATAGAACAGCATGTCCAAGGAATAACCTGGAGAAACCTTTCCTGAAATCTTTTCTTCCTATCTTCTAAGTACATCTGGATCCCCTTAGAAGGTCATCCAGAAATTTGCCAATGTATACGTAATATGTTTACATTTTTAGAATAGTGAATGGGAAGGGATTGCAGATGCCTGATCCCTTAAAAACTTTGCCAGTTAGCCCATCATTCTGAGAAGGGGCCCTCTCTCCTTTGTGGATCTCTTTCAAACCTTCTTGTGGGTTGTGCTGAGTCTTTCCATAGCTGCTGCCTCACCTTTCTATCTCCCCCAGCCCTAGTTCTAAAGAAGCCCCACATTCCTCAAGGTTACCTGGCGATTGGCTGGTGGAGCCTGCTGCACAGATGTGACGGAGGGTGCGTAGATACTATTGGTGGCCAGGGAGACAGCAGCCAGTGCAGGAGCGCTCCCCTGACACTGCTCCCGCTTGTGGGTCATGAATGCTGGTAATGAGTTGAATTGCTTTTTACACTTCCCACAGAGAAAGACATCTTCATCATCTATAAGTCAAATAGGGAGGGGGCAGTAACAGAAAGTAAGGGAAAGTAGGAAAAACCATATCAGAGAGAATGGCAGAAAAAAGAAGGACTAGAGCTAATATCTGATTTCAGAATGGCCGCCTGTTCCACTGCACACATCAATGAAGACATTTACTGAGCATAGCCAATACATGGAGTCCTATGCTAGGTGTTAAGGAATAAGAGAGTACCTGCCCTCAAGAAGCTTAAGATATATATGTGAGGGACTGTCTGATGTTGGCAGTTGCCAGTTGGGCGCTGTGGCAAGATTAGGGTAAGATCTGGGTATTTTGGAAGTCGAGGCAGGGGCTGTGGTAGGCGGAGTCGTGGTGGACTGGGATGGGCTGGGTACGGAGAAGCCCTGAGGCAGTGGGCAGTGCTATGTGAGATAAGCTGGGTGCAAGGAAGTAGCCAGAGCTTGTGCTCCTGTGGCAAGGGGCAATGCCACGTGGGAGTGGGACGGCAGAGGACTGAGTTCCCTTTGCTTAGTCCCCTCCCTATATGCAACATCAACCCCAGACGCCTCCATCTTGTGACCTTCCTGACTTCCTGGGTCCCTTTGTATAGCACTAACCCCAGACGCCTCCTCCCAGTATCTGAGTCTGACTTCCTAGGTCACGTACTCTGTCTATGCACTAATCCCAGACGCCTCCTTCCTGTATCCGGTCCTAGCCTCCTACGTCACTCCCTCTCCCTTGGTGTGCTAAACTCAGACAGCCCCTTCCGGTATCTGACCCTTCAATCATTGGCTAGTAAGCAGGCTGGGGAGGAGGGGCTAGTAGGAATTTAGGAACGAGCATGGTCAGATCACACTCTCTTTCTTGGCTCCTGCTCTGTTGCTCTGGCCTTGCTGCTTGGGCTTGCTGTGATGGCTTGCTGTGATGGCCTCTGAATAAAGCTCTGGTGTTGGCGCCTCCCGATGACTCGTCTCTGTGTGTTTATCTGGCTGAGTACCGAAGACTCGAGAGTGAGTATGACTCTGGCAGCCTGCTCCTTATAGGAGGAGAGGGTCGGCGCGGCCGACACAAGGTCGGTGCGGCCGGTACACATATATATATATACATATACACACACACATATATATGTAAATATATTATATATTTCAGTTCACATACATATGGAACTGAAAAGGATATAATGCAACAAATATTTATTAAGTGACTGCTGTGTGCAAGAGTACCTATTCTGGGCACTAAGGAGAGAAACAAAGTTTAGATAGGACATGGTCTCCACAATTAAAGAATATACATTCTAGTTACAAGGATTCTAAAACATAAAAACAGATTATATACAATATTAAATAAGTGTATTAGTGAGTTACAAAAACCAAAACGCCACAGGAAGTTTGTTATATTGTACCATAGGAGGCCCTGTGATATGTTATCCAGTGAGGGTTACAGGGACATATAAGATAAAGTCCCAGGTGAAACATTACAAAACTCATAGTCTAGTTGGGTAGATAAGATATGTGCACAGATGACTCTAATACAAAATAAAACATAGGTGCTGTAAGACAGGGATGAACAAAATGCTATGAGAGTTCATCAAACGGAGAGCTTACTTCTGGCTAGGACAACATAAAGTCAAATATCAAGACTTGACATCTGCAAGCAGTGTATTCAAGGCCACTGGTCTTGAAGTTCATCCAATCACAGTATTCTGAGCTAGACAGAGCCGTGGGGATCACATGATTTAGCTCCTTCATTTTATAATAAAGAAACTGAAGCAGGCGTGGGGTGGGGGTGGAGGTGGGGGATGACTTGCCCACATGGGTACGTAAGTAGCAAAGCCAGAATTTAAACCAGCATTCACAGAGACTGAAGTTTTGGCCTCAGCTGTCTCACTGACTCCCTTTCTGATATTTAGCAAGCCTTTTGTCCTTTCTGGGTTTTGGATTCCCTACGTGCAAGATGGAAAGAAGATGGAAAGAATGTCTGACCTGTCTGCATATCACAGGGGCCCCAGGAAACTGTTAATAAAGGGCTTTATGGGGTCTGTGAGTAGGACATTTTTAATATGCAATAGTAAAACTGTTGTTCAGTCCCTCTACACTGATTCTATTTTCTCAGCATTAAGTGATCCTGAAAGCCAGTATGGAATCTAAGTTTAAAACAAAAAACAAAAACAAAAACAACAACCTATAGGATGGGGAAGGACTGAAGAAAAGGGAAGAACCGGGAAGTGTGGAAGGAGAAAAGGATGAGAACCTGGCAGCATGGAGAAGGAAGTGGGGTCTCCTCTAGACAGGGGTGTGTAGACAGAGGAATTTTGTGAAGCACTACTAAAACATAACTCATCTCTTCTTTCTAGTCTGTCCTCCACATATCTGCTAAAATAGAATTGCTAAAGCACAAATCTGACCATAGCATTTTCCAACTCAAGAATCAGCAGTGGTTCCCTCTTGCCTTTAGGAAAAAAAACAAACTCTTCAGCTTAAAATTTAGACCACTCCAGAGTCAGACTCCAGCCTACCTTTCCAGGCTTTTTGGACACTACCACCCTTCACACACTCTCTAGGAAAACTAGGCCTCATTTCTATCTTCCATAGTTGGTGCTCCATTTTCACCTCCATTATTTTGCATGTGCTATCCACATGCCTGGCAAGCACTCCCTCCCCTATCTACCCCTTAGCATCTTTAGCTCCTTTCAAGGCTGAATTAAAATGCTGCCTCCTACAGTGAGCCTTTCCTGGTTCCCCTAACTGTCGGTGGTCTCTCCCTCCTCCAGTTATCTTTTACTTAAGTGTGTGGATATGCTGCTTCACCCAAGTGCATTAGCTCCTTGAGGGCAGGACCTGTTTTTCATTTTGTCTTTGTATCCCTAACCATCAGCATAGTTCCTGGCATAAAAGGTACTTAACAAACTGCTGAAATGAATTGCTCATTTAATTGAATTGTTACGAATATTTCTTTGGCTCATGTTCCCCCACCTGAAGAGCAGTTGATGCTAGGACCCGAGTAGAGACTTACCCAAGGACTGGATGGTGGTAGGTGTGTTGACACTTGGAGCAGTTGGGTCAGGGACTGCCCCTTGTCCATCCCATAGTGACTGAACTGCCAGGACAGTCTGGTTATCTATTCCTAAAGAGAAAAATACAGCCACATTAGAAACCACACACAGTCCACATGCTTTGACTCCCCCTGCTAAGCATATGCACCCCAAGAAGATCAGAGACATAAAGGAAGCTTCCATATATACCAAGAAATGGTTATTGCAACACTTTTTGTAGCAACAAAAGAACCGTAACCAAAACAGGCTAATGACTAAACAAATGGTGCACACAAATGGAATGGAACATTATACCATAAAAGATGATAGATGCTAAGAATGCAAGGAAATACTCATGCTAAATGGAGTGAGTAGAACCTGGAGAATAATTTATACAATAACAACTTCATAAAGAAAATATCTTTCGGAGCAGCTAGGTGGCGAAGTGGATAGAGCACCGGCCCTGAAGTCAGGAGGACCTGAGTTCAAATGCGGCCTCATACCAAACATTTGACACTTGCTAGCTGTGTGACCCTGGGCAAGTCACTTAACCCCAATTGCCTAAGCAAAAAAAAAAAAAATCTTTAAAAGTCTTAAGAAACGCTGATCGATGCACTGACCACAGAGACATGATGATGAAGCATGCTGCCTACCTCTTGACAGAGAAGTGATAGGCTCAAGATTCAAGTACATTTCTTGGACACACTCAATATGAGAATTTGTTTTGCTTGACTACATAGGTAAACTACATATCTCGGTTACTAGCGCTTTGTTTTTCTTTTTCTTTTTCTCCTTAATGAAGGGGGTGGGATCAAGGGAGGAATATGCATGGGGCAGCAAAAAAAGAAAAGACAGGAAAGAACTGTCCTTGGAGCATCTTTCTTTTTTTTTTTGAAATGCAGAAAAAGCTGGGTATGGCTGTGCAGGCCAAGAATTCCTGCAGCTGGGGAGGTTGAGGCTGCTTGAGCTCCAGAGCTCTGTGCTGCAGTAGGATGAAAGCTTATCGGGCATCCCACACTAAATTTGGCACTGATGTGGTGAGCCCACAGGAGCAGAGGGTCACCAGGCTGCCTACGGAGAGGTGAATTGGACCTGGCCCACTTCTAGCCTGGGCAAGATAGGGTAATGCAGTATCTCCCCCGCCTCCCATTCCCCAAGCAGGCCAGCTTTGAAAGCTATAGGGAAAATGTATACTTATAAAGAAAAGGAAGCTGTACAGAACAGAGTTTCGTGGTTCTGTGTATAACTCTCTTTCTGTTCTATTGTGTAGATAGAAATGCTCATTTTCTTTGGTATTTGTTAAATTCAGAATAAATTAAAAAAAAAAGAACAGAGGGAAATATGGAAAAAACATGAATTTATGCAAAATGAGGTAAGCAGAAAGGGGAAAATAATATATACAATAATTGCAATGTAAATTAAATGAACATTGTATTTATAATGATAAAACTTGGCCCCAGAGAAGGAGAAAATGTATCTGTCTCCCTTTGTTTCAGAAGTGAGGACCTATGGATGTGGAACAGTACACATATATTAGTTTGGCTGAAATGCTTCTTCTCCACCTCCATCTCTTTATTTTTTATTCTTTGTTATAAGGGATGGCTCCCTGGGAAGGGGCTGGAGTAGGGGAGGATTTTTTGGGAAATTAAAATTATATAAAAACAAAAGCTAGTAATAAAATGTTTTAAAAAAACAAACCATGCATAGCCAAGGCTTCCCAGGAGGAACAGCTGCTCCCCTACTAGCCACAGTACAAACCCTTGCCCAAGGCCCAGCATACACATCACACACGCCCTCAGGGCCTATGCTGCCAGGGTTTTATCTTTCTTGGATTCAGGACAGCTCTCTTCATTATGGATTGAGAGGGAACTACACAACTCTTTCCTTGTCTACCCACCTTTTTTCAAACTGCTGGGTGTGATTTAAATTTATGGTTAAGCTTTCTCTCAGACATCCAGTTTCCTCCTTGCCCACAGCTCAGGGACTGTACAGGTCTGAAGTTTCATCCAGCAAAACGCTTCTACAGAGTCTCAAAAACCTAAAGTCATCTCCCAGATGCCTGAAACTGGGCCAACACATCACCTCAGCTACAACTTATTCAGGTTGACTTCGCCAGCTTTGTCTCACTGGTCTAGTTTTAAAGCAAAAATCCTGAAGTTTAAGGTTCGTCCGAAGGCACTAAAACTGATAGGTGGACAGAAGTAGTTCTAGGTCTGAGAATCCACCATCTATGGCTCTCTTAAGCATGGCACCGTCACATATGGCATGAAATGTCAACCAGTGTCCTGGGGTGCAGTGGATCCAGAACCAGGCCTGCAGTCAGGAAGATTTGAGGTTCAAATCCAGACACAGATACTGACTAGCTCCGTGGCCAAGTCACTTCACCTCTATTTGCCTCAGTTTCCTCAACCATAAAATGGGGATAATAAATGCCACTATCTCCTAGGGTTGCTGTAAAGATCAAATAATACTTATAAAGTGCTCAACATAGTACTTGTCACATAGTGGATGTTATATAAATGCTTATTCTCTTCCCCTTCATGGTGCCACAGGTATTGATTCCATTCTACCTATGGCTATTTATCTGGATTATAACAGGCTAAAGTAGCACCTAGGCCAAGATTCTAGAGAGACTAGGGTGAATTCAGGCCTGAGCTGAAGGCTTGGTCCTCTTTAGGACAGGTATATGGTAGCTTTGATCAGTCAAGATTTGTTAAGCACCTAACCATATGCCAGGCTCTATGGGAGATACTAAGGATATATGTACTAAGAATGAAATAATCCCTACTCAAAAGGAGCTTATATTCTAATGGAGGAGATAAGTATACATAAATATAAGGCAATACAAATATTTACGCAAAGTTAAAAACAGGGGGATCAGAAAGGCTTCATACAGAATATGATGCAAAAGCAGCATCTTGAAAGAAGAGGACTGTATGGGGAGGAAGTAAGGAGTAAGTACATTCCAGGTATGGGGAGGATAGCCAGGGCAAAGGCACAGAGATGGGAAACAGAGAGTCAAAGGACATCCAGAAGACCAATCTGGCTATACTTCAGAGTGCTAGAAGGGAGAATAGTGTCCAGCGAGGCTGTAAGGAAAGGTTGAGGCCAGAATGCATAGAGCTTTAAAAGAGAAACAGAATAGTCTCTATTCTACCTAGAGGCAACAGGAAGCTACTGAGGTTGGTCAAGTCACAAGGGAACCACGTGGCCAGATCCACGCTTAAGGAAAATTATTTTGGCAGAATAGGTAGCACAGACTGGAGCTGTCAAGGATCTGAAGCAGAGAGACCAATTAGAAGGCTGTTGAGGTGATAAGGGCTTGAACCAAGGTGGTAACTGTATCAGCAGAGAAGGGCTCAAATGTGAACAATATTGGGAAGATAGGAACAGTGAAATCCGGCCACTGATCAGATATGTGGGGTGAGAGAGAGTGGAGGGTGCAGCATAATGCCAAGATTATGGACCTGGAAAACTGGAAAGATAAAAGAGAGAAGTTTGGAAGAAGAAGTGTAAGTGAAAAGATAATGAGCTGAATTTTGGACATGTTGAATTTAAAATATCTCTGGGATATTCAGTTTGGCAATTGCTGATATGGGATGAAGCTCAGTGGACAGACTGGGGACAGAATGTAGATCTGCATGGAGATGACAGTTAAACCCATAGGTTACCAAAAAAGAAGAGGGAGAGGGAAGAGAAGAAAGTGGAAACTGGACAGAACCTTTAGAATACCCATAGTGATGAGGATATGATATGGATGATGAGTCAGCAAAGGAAACAGAAGAAGCAATCAGACAGGTAGGAGAACCAGAAAAGTGGAGTGTCACAAAAACCCCAGAAGAAAGAACATCTAGGAGTGGGTGGGTCAACAGTGTCAAATGAAGCTGATGTGCCTTGGAACAGACCCCAACCCTTCTTAACAGCTACCTGCCTGCCTCTTCAACCACCAAAATCTGAGAATCAGAGTTAAACTCTGTTAAACAGTTGCCAACTGAACAAACTTCATAAGGAGGCAAGCTACTGGGCAACGGTCATTCACCTCAAGAATTTTGTTCTATTACTAATGCATTGTTGGTGGAGTTGTAAACTGATCCAAACATTCTGGAGAGCAATTTGGAACTATGCCCAAAGGGCTATAAAACTGTGCATACCCTTTGACCCAGCAATAGCACTTCTAGGTCTGTGTCCCAAAGAGATCATAAAAATGGGAAAGGATCCACATGTACAAAAATATTTATAGCAGCTCTTTTTGTGGTGGCAAAGAATTGGAAATGAAGAGGATGCCCATCCACTGGGGAATGGCTGAACAAGTTGTGGTATATGAATGTAATGGAATATTATTGTGCTATAAGAAATGATGAACAGGCTGACTTCAGAAAAACCTGATAAGACTTGTATGGTCTCATGCTGAGTGAAGTGAGCAGAATCAAGAGAACAATGTAACAGAAACACTATGCGATGATCAACTTTGATAGACTTAGCCCTTCTCAGCAATGCAGGATCTAAGACATCTCCAAATGTCTCATGATGGAAAATGCTATTCACATCCAGAGAAAGAACTATGGTGTTTGAATGCAGATGGAAGCATACTATTTGCTCTTTTATTTTTTCTTTCTTGTGGTTTTTCCCTTTTGTTCTGATTATTCTTTTACAACATGACTAATGTGAAAATATGTTTAATATGATCGTACATGTATATGCCTATATCAGATTGCATACCATCTTGGGAAAGGAGGAGGGGATGGAGGGGAGAAAATTTAGAACTCAAAATCTTACAAAAGTGAATGCTGAAAACTAAAAATAAATAAATTAATTTTTTAAAACTTTTAGAAAAAGAACTTTGCTCCATGTCAAATTACCATGAACAATACTCTCTAGCTCCATTTCCCCTATATAAAACTGGCATATACTACTTGACTGCCCAAGTACAAATTAGAAATTCAGAGGCTCCAAGGAGTCTGAAATTGTTTACAAAGAGTACATTCCAGGACTAGGCAGAAACTGACACTACAGGCCAAAGGAGAACTAAGGAAGGGAGGCCCAATGATATAGTAAAACATCAAATCTGAGGTTTCAAGTTTCTAAGGCCGAA